CTAAAATTGCATGGTAGGCCTATAAACGAGCATAAAATCTATGCAAGAAACCGAAATCATAACTTTTGACTAAATTCCAAATTTTGACTGATATACTTGGAGTACGCTTTCAACCTGTATTTTTGATTGATTTTTAAAAACTAACCCCACACGCACCCATCATCATTCGTCTGTAACCCCTCCTCATTCTACCCTTCGTCACAAAAACAGACAAAAGCTCAGAAAATCTACAAGAAGCGACTACATGTACTGTAACCATTTGCCACAATAAAATCCACAGTAAGAAAAAAGAAAGCCCAAAAGAAAAGCATCTAATTTTTAAAAATTTGGAACAACTGAACAAAAAAAAGAAGGTGCAGCCATTTAATTAATCATGTGCTAATAAAACCAAAAACAATTTTTTTTCACAATTTTTTTTTTCATGAAACTAAAACTTTTACAAACCTAATTCCCCAGTCGTGACTTGAATTGATTTGCTGGGGGGCCCACGGCCGATGCTATTCTCGGCTATGACTCTTACTTCATATGTTGTGTAGGCCTTCAGTTGATCGAGAATGTATTCAGTTTTATCGATGTTGATTTTTTCACTAAATCTATTTCCCTGTTTCGTGTTCATTTTAAATTGAACAATATACGATTTGACAGGTTCCAAGTTTCCACTTTCCCACGTTAGTTTGACAGATGTGGCGGTGACTTCCGAATCCCGGAGTCTGACAGGAGGACTGGGCGTTGCTGCAGGAATACACGGAACGAATAGAATTAGCATTAAACCATAAATATGATACATATTCCATTTAAATATTGTAGTAGAGATGTGATTGTGCCCACGCGAAATTTTGCTGCGGTGCTGCAGAATGGCCATGCTTATTGCCTGATTTTATAATAATACAACTTAATGCATCCTAGTAGCTTCTAATAGAAAGATTGTGTCGCAAGAGTGAATAAAGTAATCCAAAATGAATGAAAGTTCTCTAGCCACTAAACTAAGTGTTTGTAGAGATTTAAGAGAAGAAATAAAAATCCTGTCTACTGTGATAAGAGGTGACAACAACACAAGGGAACAGATCGGAAAAGTTCCACAATTTCTGTTCATAAAAACTGAATCCTTTTTTTTTTATTTTTGCAATAAAAGGTCGTGAAATTGTAATAATCCTTGTTTTAGAATTCTTTATCTTCAAAAATCGTAATTCGTTTTGAATAAATTCCTCGACTTAAGCTGTATGTAATTTAGAATTGCACTTCAATACATCCACATAAAGTTCTGACTAAATCCAAAAAAACAAAGTGTTTTACTATCCAAGGTATTTTATTTTTTTTGTCTGAAGCAAACAACAAGTGTATCTGAATGAAACAATGATATGCGAGTCACGAAATATTAAATCCTTTTTTTACGGAAGTTCTGAATTCCTGCGTGTTTCAGTGAAACGGTAATACGCATATGATATTACCGCTAATATACTCAGTTCCTGACTGACACAAACTATCTTGTGTTAACATTCACCTGGTCACATGATCTTGATAAATCCATGAAAGTAACGTAACCTATCCAGCTTCTATGTAAGCACAGGTGAAAAATCAATTTGACCACTTTTCACACTATTTTTCCAATTAATTTTCAATCAATGTAGCTTAGGTACAGTTATATCTGTTATTCAAATGACTTCGCTTGAAGGTGAGAGAGAGACACACACACTCTCCCTGGATTATTCCAATATTTCTGAATAAAGAGTACTGGTGTAGAGCCAGCCTGCTAGTAGCTCTGTCAGTGTTTTTATGACTGAAGTGTGTATGTGTGTACCTTGTAGTTTTAGATCTGTAGACCAGCCTATATAGATCCTGAGTGCCGTGATATGACTCCTCTAGAATTACACACATATATATAAACTGTATATACCACCACTCTGCAAGATAAGCATGTGGTATATTCCTATCATGTATATAATACACTAGTGTTGATTGGTTAATCAGATTCCATCAGATGCTTAGCTCATTTTGATTGGTCAAAAGCTGGGTACCTCCACAGGGGGTATCTTCCTCTTTTAACATCAAGTAACTATAGTAACCGTGTTAAATCTCTGGTTTAATGTAATGTTGATGTTTGTGTGTGTGTGTTCATGTAGGTGTGCATATGCATGTGCGCGTTCAAAAAGATGTACAGACGTGTACACACGCTTTACAAGTTATGGTTAAGCTTCGGCCAAATTCCACATGGATTACGAAATGTAATAAATTGAATAATTGAAAAGATTGTTAACTGAAAAAAGCTTGTGATCAGTAAATGAAAATAAAATGGTTGTTCATGCGAATATTGAAGTCCATAGAGAAATGAATCAGAAACAAAAATGAGAGGCATGCACATAAAAACATTTAAAAGGAAAACAAAATGTGACATCATGCACAATTTATAGTTCAAGAGTCTTTATAATCCAAAAATCTTTCAATATCTTAAAATCAATTAGAAGATTAAAATCATCTTTAAAATGGCAGGTAGCTCACTTTATAACCAATGGTAACAAAGTGCACAATTGTAGTAACAATCTACTTTAAAGAAGCATTATGTAAGATTTAGATAAAGAACTGACAGTTCTCACTATAATAGTTAAAAAATAGATATTGAAAAGGGAAGATGTCAAATTACTCCATTCTGAGTGGAGTTATGGCCGATTGCAGAACAGTGTAGTCATGATTGTCATTGCTACCTTTGTTACGATAATTAACAATGTCTTAATTATCCCTTTCTAAATCTGTTAAAAATCTAGAGCATCCAATGGCATCGAGAGTTGAATATGTTTTTGGCAAGTTAATAATTTTTATAACATTTGAAGCCAAAATAAAGACCTGCAATAGGCAGATTTAGCTCTTACATAATGCATCTTTCAGATATTTAAGTTTTCTTGAATAAAGGCCCTTGTATGTTTAAAGTGGAAATTGCCTGCATTCAAATAATTACATATATTGTTCCAAATTTAAGAAAACAGGAACTGAATCCAACTTACAAAGAAAACCTTTTCATATGTCTCTTAATATTTATGAATATAGTTCCCATTTCTTATAAATTTAACGTTATTTTCTCTAAGAAAAAGTTAAAATCAAAATGGAAGCAATTTCCAGCCAATATATCATGACTATTGTAGTAATAAAATATTGTTTCTGTTTTTACTCTGGGCTTTAATTTTGTTTGCTTTAATACAGTTAAGAATTTGTATGTCTCAGTTCAAAATGAATTGGACATTAATCCCTTAATACCTGGTACATGTGAATATTAACTACCCCATGGTGTAGTTCCCTTTAAAGTTTCAGAAATGTGATCTTTTTTGCATTCAGATTTAAGACTTGTTTTTCAAACTGCCTGAAACAATGGCTTCCAAGACCGACTGAGTCACTCAAGTGTTTGAGACCCAAGAGAAAGGGGTAGTTTCAGACTGTTTTGAACAGCACAGATACTAATGTGTTAATTGGAACACATATGTCCATCCTTGCCTCGAGATTGCAGTCAATGATTTTGGGTTGCCATGACAGATCCCTTTCACATTTGAAGGTAATTACTCTAAAAACCTTAATGAACCAATGCATGTCATTTTTTCGTAAATAAGAATTCCAATGTCAAAGTCTCAATTAGTAAACAGAAAATTGAAACCCAAAGCAAGTTTACATTAAATATTAATTAGAACATATGTCGAGCTAAATTCAAACATTAAATCCTGCAAAAAACACAACTTTAAATTTTTTTTAGTTAGTATTTTTTCATTGAAGTTATTTAATCATGTTGTGAATTATTGATAGCTGCCGATTCAAGCAGCATTATTTGGTTGTCATAAATAATAGAACGAGCATTCCAATTCAAAAATTCTTAAAATCATTTTAACAAAATCAATTGAACGCAGAGCCTTTTACATACTATTATAATCTGTTTCTGAAAATAAAATATCTATCATTTTTGATAGTGCTCACACATATTCGAATTCAAACATTCGCTTTTAATTAGATTTTAAAAATATGAATTTATATTGGGTATTCATGAATCAATGTCAACTTAACCAGTTGGTTTGTTCTTTTATGGATATCATGTGATCTGTGAAATTAAATGCTATTCAAAAATAAGTAAGCCAATTAAAGAAATGTATTATTTGAAAGATTAACTGTTTTTCTTTTAGAAATATGAAAAGGCATCAAAACAATTAAATTTAACATTTGAACTGAACGAAATATTTGAATCATGATTTAAAATATTTGAATAATAAGATGATCATTGGATGTAAACATTAATATTTTAAAGTAACGATGATTCCTGAATGTCTTGAGAACATGTGCTCAAATAGATTAAACATCTTCAAAGGTACACAACTATCTAATTTCATAACACCTTGAAATTGTCTTAACATAAATTGCTTAATAGGACCCATAATATAGGCCATTCATATAAATCTCTGCTTGTAAATTGTTTAATTAGGGGGGTCTTAAATTATATTCAGAGACCAAGATGAACACTGGTGTGTGTGAAATTGAGGAAATGATTAGTTAAAAAAAAACAAAGTGTTTAAAGGCATCAGTCGTGAATCTGTTGGAGACAAATTTGATTTTCTCCAGATGTTCGTTTCAGATTCACAGAAGATGAAAAGAGAATTTGGAGATTTTTTTTTCTCTACTCAAGAAAGCTCTTACATCATAATCAAATCAATGTTGTCATTCTAATCTCTATAGGGGTGAATCGTATTTCAAAATGATGTTGTTGAAACTTGTACAAATTTCACTAATAGAATTCCTCAAACTTCTAACAGAAGAAATTTTTACTTGAAAGCATGGTGTCTTTTGATGTTTTTGACATATATATCAAATTTCAATTCAACTCTCCTAAAGATCTACTGTTTTAGCACTGACATCATTACTAAGAAAATGTAATTGCTTATCTTTTGTCTCTGGATACCGGCAAAAATATGAACTTTGTATTTTAAATGTTAAGAATAAAATCTGAAATATGCAAAAAAAATTAACGTCCTTACCTTCAACTATAACTTTAGCCACAGACTCGATATTTCCCAGATCAGACGACGCTACACAGGTATAGTTCTTCGATTCACGAACATTTTCTAATTGTAGAATATTACGACCAATTGGTATGTCTTCTTCAGGTGTTAATTCCTTTGCTGCCTGCCGCCATTTAACGAAGGGCATCGGGGAACCCACTGCTACACATGTAAGGTTGACATCGGCTCCAGGCATTACCTTTGTGTCTTCTGGTGCGATGGAAAAATGAGGAGGAACTCTTCGAACTGAAATTATAAAAGATTGGAACCGTTCAATTTTTATAACATATTAATATTAGTATCTACTTAAGAATTTCATTTCGGTTTCTGGAACTGGGTATTGTGAGATCTCTGTGTATAGCAGTAGAGAAATGCCAGTATTTCACCTATGCAGCATTATTATAACGCTATCATAAGATACATGAAAGCCCCCCAAAACCACCCACTATATAGTGAGATCTCAGTGTAAATTTGAAGAGAATTTCACCAATGCAGCACTGATATTTTGATATTTATATATGTCTACACATGAAAACTTAAATAGGTTTTTAGTACTGTATGAATTTGTTTTTCTTAATGTTTTCTTGTAAAGTTTATAAACATTTACTATTTTCAGTAATCTAGAAAATTTCAAATTTCAGAACATATAGTCTGTTATTCCAAGGAATAATTTTCATTTCAAAAGAATAATTTGGGAAAAAACCCAGGAAATATGCTCTTTAAAACTGCAGGTCAAAACACTGCTAAAATTTACAAAATGGAGGAACAAGCTGTTTTGTGCCATTTGTGGCTCAAAAGGAATGGAAATGAAAATGTTGGTATTTTGGGACAAAAACTGAAATCGACAGGAACATAACATTTTCAACAGCTGTCTAGAATATCAGACATACTTCATAACGGCTTGCTTCTGGTTCGTTGTTGGAATTAGCTAACTTTGTCTTTTTAAAATAATAGTCTTGTTTAACCAGGGTCATAAACAATATGGACTAAAATTGGTCTGGTAAATCAAGACTTAAGAAATAACAGGAGAACATTAATAATTCCTGCTGTATGTTTTTCTCCCGTTTAATTAATCATTTATATAATTCCCCTGTTATAAAGGCCACCCATTCTGTTCCGAGGAAAATCTCTTATATAAACTTAACCTTCAACAAAGAAATTGTAATAAATCTTGTCGGGATCTTGTCAAGGTAAACCACCAGTAAATAATTTATATATTTTATAATCAACAATAATTGTTAATTTTGCAGGAGGGGTTATATCATGATAAATTCATAAAAAAAAGTTGTTTTTCATATCAACTGTCAGGAGATCTTAAACGTACACAATGACTGTGTATACATATTATTATATTATGGCTAATTATCATGACAAATTTATAAAAAAGTTGTTTTTAATATCAACAGTCAGGGGATCTTCAACGTTCACAATTAAGGTGCATATATGAAGTCATAATCAACAATAATTGCTAATTATATGAAAATATGAATATCAAAGTTGTCTTTAATATAAACTGTCAAGGGGATTTTAAACGTGCACAAATAAGGTGCATATATGATATAACACTATAATCAACAATAGTTACTAATTTTGAGGGAGGCTAACATTGTCTTTAATATTAACTGTCAGGGGATCTTGAACGTGCACAACATAAGATACATATATAACACTGTGGTTGTATATCAAAATGTATGTCTAGAACACTTCTGTACAGGCTTTACCAGACTGGAACCTTTCATAACAGCTGTTAAAGCAACCCTAATGCTTGACCGAAATTGGGCAATGATCACCAGTGATGAGAACAGCTGTAGTCTAGTTAATGATATATGTCATCATCTGAACTCTGACCTGAGGTTTCTGGTATGGCTCATTATTATGATGAATCAGTTGTAGATCTTGTATATTTGTATAATGTGTATGTTAAAGATCCCAGAAGTTGTAATACAGGGTAAACATGTGATCTCCAGGGACTGATAATGAGTTGGTAAATGTAGGATAGATATGGCTGTGTGCTAACTGTCAATCAACTGTTGCCAAATCCATCTGTAAAGGAAACCAAGCTGCTGTGATCAGTTGTTATAGACAACATCCAATGGACTGAACCCGAGGTCAACCACAAGGTAACTTTGTATCCATGGCTTCTGGTCCAATTACTATGTTCGATATCTAAGTAAAGTTTCTTATATGTATCAGATGTTTGGATGTGGTTCAAACTTCAAATTCTTGACCGCAATCTCTAAATATTTTTTTTTTATCAGTGACCCCTTTTGATCAAGGTTTGGAAACACTGACTGAAGCCATCTTGGATTATAACATAAATCATTTATAATGACATATTGTAATGCAGAATCACAGTCAATTTTACAATTAAAGATTTTATAATTCGTTACATTTGTATTTTAATGGCAGAGACATGATCTGTGAGAGAAATGGGGTTTAGAATCCACTCGACACAACCTAGGTCATTTCTGGACTAACATATGGTTCAATTTTATTTCAATAATTCGCTTGCACAAAGGAGTCTTTAGCAGTGGGAGGAAATCGGAGGACCCGGAGAAAACCCACGAGGTTGGACAGGCAACCCTACCCTTTGTCACTAAAAACAGGAAATCAAAACCACGTCACTTGACTTAATGACAGACCTGATGATGCAGCAGGCACATGCTAACCATTCGGCCATCCAACCCCCCAGACATGATTTGTCTAAACAGAAAGTCTGACACAAAAGAAAAGCCAGGAATATCAATAAGTTAGCGAATAAGTAGTTTAATTATGCCCAAGTTTTTTTTATAAGTTTAAAGAAGTTGTGATGTGTGTTTTGGTTGGTAGGAACCATCTGGTATATAAATTAATCTCCTATCTCCTTGTGTAAATGGTACATTACAGGGTGGTCTTCTAAATCACTCAACACCACCAAACAACTACCTCTACCATATCATTCTCAAATATCATTTAAATCTTTACTACACAAACTACAAAATACTCAAATCTTCATTAAATTTCCTGAAACAACTCCTAGAGTTGTGTTTAGAGAAAGAGAGAGAGAAACAGGGTTTTAACATCCACACAAAAGAGACTATACACAATGCCCCCTTTCCCCAATATTTCAGGAGAGAGAGAAATGGGGTTTAACGTCCACTCGACACAAACTAGCTCATTTCGGAACTAACATACGGCCCAATTTTATTTCAATAATTCGCTTGCGCGTAGGGGTTTTTAGCAGTGGGAGGAAACCTTAAGACCCAAAGAAAACCCACGAGGTTGGACAAGCGACCCTACTCCTTGTCACGTACCACCAGGGATTCGAAACCACACCAGTTGACTCAATGACAGGCCTTATGATACAGCGCGCACATGCTAACCATTCGGCCATCCAACCCCCCAATATTCGAGGAAGGAGGTTACACAAATTCAGCTAAATCTTATCTGGTGATATTCAGGCAAAAATAAAGAAATTTTGGTGCCAAAAATGAAACGGTCGAATACGTATGTCTATAACCCAATCCATATTTACATGGTAGAAAGTCACACTATCCACTGTGGCAATGACACTAGCCACATTCTAAAACTATTGGCCATGTTTACTTCCTCTATGAATAAGAAGTGGTATCAGATGTTCACTGTATGTCAGTGAAACAGTTTGTTGTGTAACATGAGGTAGTTGTTGAAGAGTTTGTCTAGAAATAGAATGATATATGGTAGCAGTAGAGATTAGATAGTAGTCTAAAGTAGTATCATGGTAATGGTATTTCTACTTTTGTTTATTACTATACAAAGAAAGAGCGAACAGGTAGCTTGTATGTTAGTTCCAATAATCTTGCCAAATTGTTCTTAGGGCTAGGGTGGTGTCTGAGCTTGCTTCAGGACTGTTGATGAAAATGTTTCGAAGCAACTGCTTTCATGAAGAGTTAAAACTGACCAACCTGATCTTCAACAATGGCAGAAACAAGACATACTAAATATATATTTCAAACAAACAAAATATATCAAACCAAATAAGTGTCAAACCCCCCAAAATGGCACAATACTTTAATAGGATGAAGGCAACAGATATGCTCTGGGAAAAAAAAAGGAAGTACAGACGAAGCCCATTTTAGTTTTCTTCCTTAACTTTGTTCGGTGTGGGATAAGAACATGATCATGACTGTTCGCTTTTCAATAGCAGACTTTTGTTTTAGTGATTTTGCTGTTAAAAGTTGGCAGGCATGAAGAAGTCGAGGGCTATAATCTGTATTTCACACTATTTATCATTCTATTGTAAGTTATCCCATGTTATAACGGTCAGGTGTGTTAACAGATCATTAACAAAATACTCTTAAACACTGACCTCATTTACTGACATATTTCTTACTTTATACCCATTAAAATGGAGAGAGAGAGAGAGAGAGAAAAAGTGAGAGAGAATTGGGATTTAACTTCCACTCAACACAAACTAGGTCATTTCTAGACTAACATACTGTATATTTTTAATGTAATAATTTTTTTGCACAGTGTTTTTTTTTTTAAGCAGTGAGCGGATACGGAGAAAACCCTTCATTGTTAAGCAGATGAATCACCCCACTTCTCATCTACTAGCTTGGGATCAGAACCTGGCCATTTGAATCAATGACAGACCTTACACCACTTGATTTTCTAACTGTCAAATGTTTATTTTATGCACACATTTTTTTTTGTCCCATCCAAATGACTAGAAGCTTCGTCCTGCACCACAGACAGTGAGAGAGAGAAATAGGGTTTAATGTCCATTCGACACAAACTAGGTCATTTCGGGACTAACACCTGGTTCAATTCTATTTCAATAATTCACTTGCGCGTAGGGGTCTTTAGCAGTGGGAGTACGGAGAAAACCTCTGAGGTTGGACCACCACTTACAAGGTAAAAGCCTGCTGGAAAACCCCAGGGAACTCTGTCAGTCAACACCAGGATCATAGCCCAGATCTCCTGGTTAGCGAAACAGCACTTTACTCACTGAGTTACCCTTGACTATGAAGTAATAAAACTAAATCTTGTCATCCTGTCAAGGATCACTTAATGAGTTAATTACCCCCCTTGTTAATTACCTCCCCTTGTCAATTAGGTGCTAACTCATTTAACTGTCTTACACTAATTAATTTGACAACTTTTAACTGTTTTACGCTAATTAATTTGACACTTAGTGGTCATTAATTATAGATAAAGGGGGGTGTAAATAAACAAATAGGGGCAACATATTAAATGTCTTGGTTTATTGACAAACTGGGAATTGG